TATTATTACGTCGGTTATAATTATTATTATTTCTATTTTGATTTCCATAGTATTGGTATGCATCCGATTCAGATTTTAATTCTGTTTCCTCATCCTTGGCTATTTGCATCGCCATTTCTAAGGTGGGTGGATTACGTGATTTTACTATTGTTTTTAAACTGGGTGTTAAACCTTTTATAAATACTACCAACGTTTGTTCTTTTAACTGATCTCTTAATACTGTGGCCTGATCCGTTGTTTTTCCTTTAGTACTCGCTACGCATAAGTTAAAATATAATATTGTTCTACTCGTCTAACATACGAATCGACGTCTTCGTTTGGTCGCATACGTACAGAATTTAACGCTACCTGTAATGTTGATGTTGAACTTTGTGGTTCAAAAGCATCTAATAAAATTAATTTTACTCCTTCCCAATCTGACATGTCCCTATATCTACATACGTTGAGAGCCTGGTCAAATAATTTCGTATTTATAAATTTCATTAGTATAGGTAAATCGTCTTTTTCTACCGCTGAACACGCTAAATCACATGCTTTTATAAATTGATACACGTCTCTTTCTCCTGTACACGTTGGAATCATAACAGTAGCTTTTTCTAATGGGAGTTTAGTTCCAGTCATTTTGCTTTTAGGTTTTCTTGTAAGGGGTTCTAATTGAGTATGTTCTATACCTTTCTTTGAACGAGTGCCTATTTGTCGTAGTTCAGTTTCGTTAACTATAATTGGTCGGATACTTTTATTATGTAATTCTTTCTCTCGTATAGATTCTAAATATTTTTCCTTATTTAAATCTACTGAATATTGATATCTCTCGTCTGTTCTTAAATCAATTAATAATTCGTTTCTTTTATCGTCAATCGTTTTTATTTCACTACAATTATCGCTTATTACTGCTTCGTTAATTATTTCTTTACTTTTGGTTTCCTCAACCTCTTTAACTTTTGTTACCAAATTTTTATTTTCACTTATCTTATTTTTATTTTCTTGACTCATTAAATTAATTTATTCATTTAATTTAAATCGTAGTATTTTACACGTTTATTATTTTAATACGTAAAATTATTATTTTATAACTTATTTATTATTCACCAATAAACCCATAAATTTATTCAATACGTACTACTAAAATATTTATTACAACAAATACAATTTTACTTCTAATATTTTAATTAATTCTACAATTATTATATTTTTATTCCTTATATTTCAATAACTTGTCACTCAACAAAATGAATTTAATTCAATTATTTATTTTACTTTTAATTAATTACTCTTAATATATTAATTTATTAATTATTTAAATTATTATTTTTTTAAATTTTTTTTTTTTAATTAGGACTTATTACGGCCTTACAAATTTTTCTAATTCACAATTAAAACTTCAATATAATTTCAACATATATTTAAGGACTTATCACGGCCTTATAAACTCAATTTAATTTATTCAAATATCTCTCAATAATATCTAAGGACTTATTCCGGCCTTAATAACTTCAATAAAATTCTTATAATTTTTCACCAAAAGGACTTATACCGGCCTTTAATTAATTAATTCGTATGACTTATACTTGCCTAAATTCATCACAATAAACAACAATAAATTCAATATTCTCAACAATGAAGGACTTACTTTTCGGCCTTTAAATAAAACTCACAAATATAAACTCAATAAAAATTTCTCAAATTAGGACTTACCACTCGGCCTATAAAATTCAACAAAAATTAGACTTCAACTTGTCTAATAAAATTCAAAACACAAGGACTTACTACACGGCCTTTAAAATTCCCCAATAAAATAGACTTCAACTTGTCTAATAAATTCAATACACTAGGTCTTACTACACGGCTTTTAAATAAAATACTCAATTAATTCTCAATAATTCACAATAAAAATTCTAACCAGAAGGACTTACTACACGGCCTTTAAATAAAATACTCAATTACTTCTCAATAATTCACAATAAAAATTCTTTTTAACTCTCAAATATATTCACTAATTTTTTTTTTTTTAAACAATCCTCAATTTAATATCTCTTATTCTCTTTTTAATATAATTCTTATTAAATTCTCAGTATAATTCTCAATAATATTATTATATCTATAATTATTCACTTTATTCACTAATTTTTTTTTCCACTTTTTTTTAAAAATTTTATTCCTAACAAAATTAAATTTTATTAACAACGCAATAAAATCTTAGAACCTATACAAAATATTTAAATTTAGTATTTCTTTTGTTAAAAATATTTTTTAATTTAATTTATTGAAATATTATTTATTTATTATGTTACTATGTTATATTTTAAATATATTTTTTTTTATTATTATTTTTTTTTTTTAAATTTAATTTAATTTAATTATTTGTGTTACTAAAATTTTAAAGTATTTAAGAAAAATACAGAATATTCTGATTATTGTCTATTTTTATGATCGATAAATAATTTCAACTAAATAAAATAATTAATACTTAATATGTATATTCAAATGTTATAATTTTACCACTTTTTATTGCGTGCTATTAAAATATACTATGGTCATAAAATGTACCATAGGAGACGGACAACAAAATTATTCTTAAATTCGAAATTATAATTACTACTTACACCAATGCAGCTGATACTTGATTCATGGTATGTGTAGTTACCTCCATGTAATTTTGACTTGGAACGTAATCGATGTTGCTGACAGGATTCTTTTGCGGAGTTGTTGAAAGTTGATCGTCACCGACTTCCAACGATGATTCAATTTGATTGAATTGCCTCCTTGAATTAATTTGGTTGGAATATTTTGAAATAATTCAAAAATATTCGTTTCCAAAATGTTTTTCCTTTTGCAAACCCTGTCCACAGCGCCAATTGTAACAAACCGACTACGTCCGTTTGATGGTGTTGAAAAATAAATGAAGAAGAGTTGTCTTTTTCTTTATAAATTGAATACTTTTATTTGATTAATACAAAAACAATAAATTTACTAAGTCCAAAGTGACTATATTAAATAATGGAGACTAGCGAGATGTGACTGTCATATCCTAGCTCCTAGCTCGTCGTTGGTGTTGGTCCGTCTAGCTCGTTGGTGTTGGTCCGTCTACCGAAGCCCATTCGAGCGACGTATTATAATGGCTATACTTGGATCGTATCCCTGCTGAGTACCCTACTACTTTTACCATATAAGGTCATACCGTGGGCGGCCACGCGCTGCACTCACCGGATGTCCCTTGCCTATCTGGTCGTTGTCATCTCTGTGACAACACAACGCTGTTAATGCTTTTAATGTGAACTATTTTAATAATATTCATATGAGTAGTGATATATCTATGAACACATACGTTTGGAGGTCACGCGCAATTATTTATGGTACTTCGTAGGCCTCCTGCAACTAACATATATATACATGGAGTTCTTCTTATTCTTTGAGTGACATCGTGTCAATCACATGTTTATTTAAAACTACCCGAGGGATTCACTGGAGTGATTATTTATAATATTTAAACATAATCACAGCTCGCTACATTATGTTGTTGTAAAATATACCCATTGCCCATTTTAAAATTGTTGTAGTCCTGTATAATAGGCCAAAGTGGCCATTAAGTAGTCAAAAAGTTATTATTTCTGTCTTTCTAACTTAACTTGTTGGTTTTCTAACCAACTTATGAATTGGTAGATTAACTTTTTTTTAACTGTGGTAAGTTAATATTTTTTTCCATATTAACTTTTATCTTTTCGAGTTACATTTATGGTTTGTTGAATGTTAAATAACTTCTAACTTATTGATTTTGTGTTCTCTTAACTTAACTTGAGTTCATTATTCTCATTAACTTCACCACTTTTTATAATAGGAATTATATATGAATAGGCATGTGCCTAGTGCTTTAAGTTTTCACTTTTTTTTTGAGTGATTTACTTTTTTAATTTATAGTTTCTAAGCAGATTATTATTTTGACTATTTCAGTCTATAAAGATTAATTTTTGAACAAGTAGTTCATTAGTTATTTAGCTATAATCATTTAATTTTTAAAGTTTTGGTGAGTTAAAAAGTGGTACAGGGCCTGTAAAATGTTGTTCACTACTTCGCTAATCTAAACTCTAAATGCTTATAACTGTTATAACTTATAACTAAGGTTATCAGGAAGTTTATGCACTAAAAACTGAATAAATATGCATGCACTTATGCATTAAAAATTGAAAAATAAACATTAAATATTCTAATTATATGAAAAGAATATTTTCAAGTAAGTTTTGAAATAATGACTGTAGAGACTTAAATGGAAACATGTCCACGACCTACGTGTTTATATATTCCAACTATCAATTGTCATTTGTGCAATAATTTCATATTACCTACACCATATTATATTTCCTCAAGTTATAAAATTAGGTAAGCATGATTTTTCACTAACAGTTGAAAATTGAACAACCTTAAGCCAATTAGGTCGGTTGACCCACTGCCTTTTAAAATCAGATATGAGCAAATGTGCACCTTCCTGTTACCTATTCCTGTTCCTATTCAAAATGACATAATTATTATAGTTTATATAAATAGATACGTTTATTTCAATATTTAATGTAGTATAATGTTAATTTAAAAATTAATAATAATATTTTTTAAAACTATTATGCAAGTAGTTGGTACCTGTATATTAATTATTTATTTTGTGACATAATATGACAAACATTCATATGTATGTATAGATTGAAAATGCATCGTTAGAAATGTCTGAAACCTTTCAAGAAGATTTGAATGAATTTGATATTAATGAAGTAATAGTTCAAGTGAGATTATTTACTATTAAAACATAAATATATTTATGTATCATTCAATTTATGATATAATTGTTTATAGGAAAATAATAATAAAGAAAATGAGTTTGGCAATGTTAAGAGGGAACATGCTATTGAAAATATTGTACATACTGCCCGTAATACTTTTGGAAGTACAAATCAAATACAATGCTTACGCTGTACAAATATTTTTACCTGTGGTGAGTATTATTATAATATAAGTTATTCCCGTTTACAATTTTATAGTATTCCATAACCCCTTACTGCTAATATGATACCTACCTAAATCATAATTTCTTTTTGATCATATAGGTACAGAATTGAGACGCCATATTCTGTTGAACCATAACTTGAAAGACTTGGATTGTCATCATTGTTTTCGTCGCTGTTCAAATTTATTGGAATTTGAAAACCATGTAAAATTACACTTTAAAGCTCAACACCCATATTATCCATGTGATTTATGTTTAATCAGCTTCAACAATTTAGCAAATCTTATACTCCACATTAAGACACATGACATACCACATTCCAAAGAATGGGCACTTATTTACAATCTATCTGATAAATCTACATCTTTTTCTTGTCGATACTGTAATAAGACTTTTATACATGAAGCATCAAGGCAAATCCATGAACGTATTCATTTTACATGCTTAATATGTGAGACATGTGGTAAACAATTGCCAAACAAATCTCAATTGAGTGTACACCAGCGTCAACATACCGGGGAAAGGCCTTATCAGTGTACAAACTGTGGTTCTTCGTTTAAATGCTTGTCAACATTACGCCAGCATGAAGTTGTACACTATGAAAAAAAATACAGCTGTGAAGTCTGTCAGCGTAAGTTTAGCCGGCCCGAGAAGGTTCGTATACACATGAGAGTACACACAGGGGAAAAGCCCTACAACTGTTTGATATGCTATAAAAAGTATCAACAGAAAAATGATTTAAATCGTCATATAAAAAAGAAACATGAGGAGAATTATGCTATGAACAATATCAGACTAAACTTGTTTTAAATATTTAATTGACTCAATATTTTAAATAATTAAATCATTGGTTACTAATATTCTCATTTATATTTAATGATGTACATTTACTAATTTTCTCATTTATATTTAATGATATACATTTACTAATATTCTTATTTTTACTCTAGCTAATTAATGTTCTATTTATCATATATTAATTATTACACTAGCAATTCAATTAATTTTAATACCTTTCATACTCACATCATTTATTTATCTAAATAGATTGAATAAACTAAGAATTTAGATGTATATTTTTTCAAGATCATTGTTTATTTAAAAATTAAATCTCTAGTCAAATGTGTATTTATCGTTTCATTAAATGATCATTAAAATTATAATTTTTTTGTGGTTTTTAATTTTCTCTTAGAACTTTCATTAAGTGCTTGCATACTTTTTGAATTTGAATTCAATACTAGATCAACAAAAGCCATCGCCAACATAAGACCATTGGACATAAGTTCTCTTAAAATTGGTTCTTTAACTGATCTATAAGATAAAATAGCATCGATTGCTGGAACAACAGGAGTAATATATTCAGGAAAGACGCCTTTTAGCATCAATTCAGTTATATCTTGTGATGAAATGATTTCTGTACCAACAATAATTCGAAATAGTCTGGCATGCAAACGAGCTTTCATTAGTATCACTTTGTTCATAGATTCTTCTAAAATATTTAAAAAAAAACTGTGAAACATGGGTTGTAAAACAATATCTGTTGGTAAATATTTACGAGTATTATTATTAGTAGTAGTATTATTACGGGTATTTACAGCTTGGCCGCTGTTGATAAGAGCTATTAGCATAGCAAGTGTTTGTAATTTAACATAAAATAAATTGGCACCAGCAACATTCACATTGTTTGGCATCTTCACATAGTTCTCAATTAGGTAAATATCACTTTCAGGTAAATCTTTCATGAGTGCAGCAACCTGAATATAAACAATTTATGTAATAGAAATAATATGAATACATTAATTATTACTAACAGAATTATAGACATCATCTAAATTCATTTTGTTCATATCTTCTGGCATGTAAAGCATCTTCCAATCTTTAAGAATGTTACCATCTCTGAGTATAGTGGTACAACTCAAATATCGACCAGACATTTGTAAAGAAACAATTTTCTTAATAGACTAAAAATAGTTATCTAATTAAATGCAATGATAAAAATACAGTTTATTAAAATTACCTCTCGCCTTACTTCTGAAAGTAAAGGCACATAATAATTGACATTCCGACTATGTTTTCGTTTCATTTTACTAACTTCTATCGCTTCACTAAAACAGCGCATCAAGCACAACGGCCGAAATCCAAAACATTTCAATATCACTAACATAAAAATGATAAATAATAAAGGCACATTACAACATTCTAGATATTTCAAGTACAAAATAAATGACTCTAAGAGCAATTGGTTATAATTCTTTTTTAAAAATTTTATTTTAGTCCATAAAACACGATGAGAACAAACTAACTATTAATTATTTTAACATGAGTAACAAAATTAAGATTAATGACTGAGGACATATCGTCCTTTGAGTATTCTGCGCTGCAGTACTCTGCGTCCCTCTTTTGTCGCCATTCTTGTCCACCAACCATGTTTTTTAATACGTTTTGCTTCATTGGGTCGAGGAAAATGATGACGTGTTTTTGTGCGAACCAAGTCAATAGACCACGAGTTTAATGCTGACGGTGTTAAAAAACTGGTTGGTGTAGACCCATAAGGAGTGATTCCGATAACTTTTCTAGAATAAATAATAATCGTAAAAAAAATACAGACGTGTGTTAAGAAATAGTTTAAATGATTTTTCCAACAACTTACTGGAAAGTGCTGCGTAGAATTTGGCCTAAAACCATTCTGAATGATTTCCAAAGGATGTATGGGGGAATTGATGAATTATAATCTAAATAAAGCTTACTTGTTTAGCTGATTTAAACTGAAAAAATTGAGCCGGCTCCAAGTTCCAACGATCGACCTATTCTGTAAGCACTAGCAAGAAATTATGTATGGAAAGTTAGTGATAAGCTAGTGATAATAAATGCACAGAAAAAAACCATGAAGGCTAGAGCGTCTGCTGATACGGAGGTTAAACTCAACCTTGGGTTAAATTACCGAAAAAAACGTACCGTAAAACCACGGATTATATTAAACAACAAAAAAATTTTGTAATGTCTGTTTAATATTATAATCTGCTGTAAAATATCGCACACTAATTTTATTTCTCCACCAGTCAGCATGGCGGTCAAATCCGAGGCTGGCCCGGTGTGTAATTAACGTATATTAGATAGGGACATACTTGACTTTATTACCTTTAAAAAATTATAATTATAAAACTAAAAATCGTATTTAAATTATAATTACATCACCGTATTCACCGAAAATTTATCTTTAGGAATAAATTAATTACTAAAATAGTATTAGTGTTCAATATTTACGTAAAAACTCTTCATATAAATAGTAAAAATGGGTAGGTAAACTGTTACGTTTACATAGTATTACTCAATACCAGAATTGAAATGTGATTTTACTATTTAATATATTATAAAATTTATGAATTTATCACTTAGAAAGAATTTTTCTTTCGTCACCAAGCAATGATGTAGGTAAATAAAATCAAAATTTTAATTGTTAATTATTATTGTTAAACTTTAATTTAGATGAATAGGTATTGTTTACCACATAATGATTTTATTCTTTTAAGTTTATGATTTTTATAAAATAAAACATATATTTTATTTCATTTTTATAAGAGTATAAACATTTCTTTTAATTTTAAATGTATTTATAATTCAAGTTTTTGAAGTGTTTGTTAGATGTGATGTGGATTATTACTGTAGGTTTCTTTTACATAATGACCTAAAAATATGCACCATTCCTACTCGCGCCCGTTTATATTATTCGAATTTCCACGCGCACACTCACAATCACCCTAACCCCCTAATTTCTAATCTTTCCTCTGCCACCATTCCCAACAATCCTCCTCCACGCCTTAAACGTAACTGGTCGCGTGATTTACTATTATAATCAGCACAAAAACTTACTAATCAAAATCAAAAATCAAAATTTGTTATTGAAGTAGTGTCATTGGATGCCCCCTTCTATCACGCCCACATGCCTTGTAAATAATGTTAAAAAATTTACTTATTGTATCAAATGTATACAGATTGTAAATATATTGTTGTTTTAAAAAAAAAAAAGGTTTCTTTTAGTGAATATCTAAGCTATAACAAATGGCAATTAATACCAAATTGATTTTACTTCATAACATTTCAATCACAACAAATTGAATTAATAATTAATAATTCAATATTAATGGGATAAAATGTCACATACATGACAACATTTATTTAAAGTAGTAAAAATTTCCTTTTGTCCATCTTCTAGGGTAGGTAATATTCAATATAACATTTAGCTATTTAGGTACCTACTTTATATCGAAGTTGTAAATTCAAAAACTAGTATTTTCCTTACTAGTCATAGTATCTTTATAATTAGCTCTTTTTACAATAAAACACATGCGCATTATTAAAAATTTGGGCAACGGCTTTAGAAAATTCTTGCTTATGACTTATGAGTTATGACTTATGACCAACACAACCAACCAATTGCCAAAACTAGACTTGTTATGGTAAAATTATCACTGACAATATTGAATGAATATAGTTCTACTAGGTTATACAAATCAGTATTTAAATTTTAAGTACACTTACTCAAGTATAATATTGCTTTTTTTGTTAACTTTTCATGGGCCATCACTTGTTGGTAGATAGTAATCGTTTATTAGAGCTAAGATTTATATACAATAAAAATAATTATATATTTATTGATATTGCAGAATGTTTAAGATTTCAGATAAATAATTTCTAGTTCGTAATTACCGAATTACAATATTGCATTCCATTATATTATTAAGAATTAAATGTAATAATTTTAGATTCTAAGCTAGAATATTGTGTATATATAACTACTTGAAAACTCTAGAAGTCTAAAACTAATACTTGTTGCGTTAGGTAACTCCTTTTATAACAACGTCACTTGAATTGCAGCCACTGTGTTCCGCCCAGGCGTCAAAAGGTAAAAAATGGTAATTTTATTTTTGATTAATATCATTATTCGACAATAGTAGAAATATGAAAAAGTACTAAAGAAAACTCTATATCATTGATCGATTAATGTTTACCCTCTGCGTCCGTCCATAATAGCTAGTGATTTAAAATATGTATAGCACCAACTACTGGATTTTGTAACTTTTCTCAAATTTCGGATCGTTTTAAATACGTTGCCGTATAGGTAGTCTTTATAATAAAAAAACTGGTGTCAAGTTAGATTTGTAGGCAGTTTTCATTATGTTATAGAGTGAAACTACAAGATCAATCGTTCAACATCAACACCATCAGCACTGTAGGGTATGGATGGTCATGAAGTTACCCCCCCCCCCCCCCAACTTAGTTATTAATTTGTAATTTCACACTTGATTTGCAAATTTTAAAAACCAATTTGCAATTAATTCGCTAAATATTTTCACAGGTTTAGATAATTTTTATGAAGGTTGGGGGGAGGTGCTAACTTCATCATCATAATGGAGTATTGCTGATAAAACACCAGCCTAAAACTCACAACATATTTGGAGTTTTCTTTTAATACATCTATTAATTGAAGTCTACGTTTTGCTAGTTATGGGTAACCTAGGTGTCTCACTGTATTAGTCCTTATGTCCTGATACTTATACACATACATTTGTTTTATTAACATTTATATTTTATATCATATATTATGATATACTCGTATATTAATAATTGTACTTGTATATGACGTGTGTTAAAGTACACAAGCATACAGAAGCTAAAGGTATATAATAATAAGATCGGATATATAATATAATAATATAAGTTTAATGATACGATGTACAATTTATAGTGTTACACAGCCTAATCCCTAATATAAATCAGCGACTAAATGTCCTACATAATGTATTATAAAAAATGTTTATATAGAGTCTGCTGTACTACAGTGCGAATAGTTTACCTATAAACTACATGATACAGGGTATTTTATTTATAATTACAACAACGTGTAATGTTTATAGTTGTAATTTGTATGAGGTAGGTATCTATATATATGTCATCAAATAATCGGACAATAATCAAACTCCTAACGGAGACATTGAAGTGATGATATGTCCTCAATATATAAAATATAATACTATATAGACCCAATTTATAAAAGTCTAAACACTCTAAACGAAATTGTCTTCAATTCATTTAATTATATCATAACAAATAATAAATATACCTACTACCTAGTATAGGTATCTATTTAGGTACCTTTCTACAATACGCATTGTTTGTAGATCACGTTCGTGTACCTAGATATATTTATTTTGTTACGGTTTTTGTATTACCTACTTCAATAAGCTATTATAACTTATAAGTTACATATTAGTTGGGTACGTTTTATTAGTTTTACTAGGTAGGTATAGTAGGTACCTAGACATATAGTTTTTATTTTTTAAGGACTACATACTTCGAAATCAATACAATCGTGTCAAACTTAAAAGTTATATTTGTCTATGCTCTAAATAAATAAGTATATTCGGGGTATATTAGTATATACTATATTTATGATCTAATTTTGAGTTGTGGATACAATTACACAAAATTATCAAATGTCCTCAAAAAACCTAAACAGTGTAAGACTTAATATTATCGGCTCTATGATGGACCGCACTCTTTAATGATTTAAAAATGCAATTAATATTCATTTTCCGATTTTTAATAATATCGAGTACCTATACCTACTCGTAGAGTCACATTGAATTTTTTTACCGTACCTTTTTTTCTGGTTGCATGTAAGGAAACCACACGCCCTATGCTTTACCGTTGCAACTAGCCACTAGGTAGGTAAGTGCCGATTTCTTAATTTGTGATCTTATAATATAGGTAGACTCTTTTTGTCTGTGACAATGGTTTTATTGGGGTCTGGAGATTTCCAATTTCTACATGCGTCAGTCTAGCTCAATTATCTGTCACATTTTATATAGTTGCTATAATGATGTGTGAGCATGGATGGATAGGTACTTTTTTACCGGGATATATTTATTAGGGCCACTTATACCTAGAGTCTGTATATTGTATGTAAAAAAAAATTTAACTTCTTTTGAGTTTGATCGTTGGCACATTTACTTAACAAATCTTGAACCATTCTTTTCCTTTTTGATGCCCCACTTTCGAAATTTCGTTCAGACATAATTAATTATTATCATATATTTTATTTAATAAATTAAAACAAAATTAGCAAAGAGCCACAGTCACAATAGCCAATAGGAAATGTAAAATAAAAATAATAAAACCTGATAAAATATTAAATAATACCATATAATACCAAATGCAGGGATGTCAAATTCATGGCGCGCGTGCCCGAGGTAACACTCGAAAAGATATTGAGGGCAAACGAAAAATTAAAATATTTTTACTAAAAATACAATTTTAAAATAAATAATTAACAAAATAATATTATTATAATTTTAGGTATACCTAAACTAACCTTTTTTGTACTAATAGAATAATTATTATGCAATCAAATTCTAATCAAATCAAATTTTTTTTACAATATCGAATATAACAACATATTTTTCATGGCATGCTCGAAAAAAAGATAATTTTTGGCACGTAGTGTTCAAAACTTCAAAAGGTTTGCCACCTCTGTCGTAGAGCATGGAACAAGAATGGGTAATTAATATTATTGTACTTGCTTACTTCATAGTTCATAGTTTATAGTTTATACTGCTTATTAATGTTGACGTAAGAGAAAATGATATTTTAGACATTTACATAAATACGCAGTGTTTAAAAATCAAAAATAGAATAAATCGAATTTATTACGATACCAAGATATTGTGTATATAAACGTACATAGAAGATACGTCTTACGTAGCTTTCACTAATCGAAAAATTAATTATTATTATGGTTGTTTATTTTTATTGTTTGAACATCGATTATATTTACTTATATTTACATTTTATACATTATTTAGTTTTAGCACAATAGTACATACGACAAAATAGATATGTATTTATACGAGTATCGACGAGTTTATGCAGAGGCCCCTAGGGCCTAGGCCCTAATAGAGTATACACAATATATTAAAAATAAGCATTAATATTGTACAGCCGCTAGGGGCGCCAGCCAGTATTGTAAAAAATTACTTTTATATTATTATTATTTTTTTAGTTATAGTTTTTCGTATAATTGGGGCCTCTGAGTTTAAAATTGATGGAGGCCTACCGGAAAAATCCCGATGTCCCAATGGGTCTGTCCTTCCATGTGTGTGACCATATCATTACACGTTTATTTGTATAAATCATTAGGTTTTCCAGTATAGCTATCTCATTAGCTAGGTAAATTGTTTTCATTTTAACTCACGTTCGAACATTATATAACTCTAAAATATCTATATATTACAGTGATATTACAGACAATATAAAGTGCAGCAAAACGGGAGTAGACGAATTTCTTCGAGTTCAATAATTTTACCTATGTATATTTAAATACAAAGGGAATATAGTTTCAACTATCTAGTTATTAATTAATTTTCTGCTTGTCGCTCACTGACGATTTGTAATTTTATACAATAGCACTTGACAAAATGCACCACGGTGATGTCAGATCGAATATAATATATTCGCTATTATATAACACGTATAGCACACGCGTCTAAGACGTCTACGTCTTACGTCTATAATATTATTAAATATTAATTATTATTTTACATCTGGAACCTTCGGAGGATAGATATCGCAAAATATAAAATGTTAAAATAGAATTATGTACAGGATGATTTAAAATTGATGTTACAGTCATTTTATCATATAAATATTAAAATAGTGAAAAATATATAATACAAAAGTTTTTTGATTCAGAAACATCTATTATGATTTCATAATTTTATAATTGTTTACAATATTTTAGGGGGGTTTTGGGGGTTCAACTTCAGAAATTCAAATGGAAACCTATACTTTTTAAATATCTCTCAAGCATGGTTTTTCATTACTTGATATATTATGTTGTTCATGCACAAAGGTTTATTTTAAAAAAATCTTCACATTATGTTTGCAAAAAAAGTATAGGTTCCCATTTTAATTTTTAAATGATTTCATGATGAAATGGCTGTAACATGCATTTTGAATCACCATGTATAATGTATACGAACATTTTAGAAAAATATCGCGAATCGAATCTAGGATTTTGTAATGATTCAAAATAGTTATCATCCAAGGGACTGTTAATGGTATTTTCACCAAATATTATATATTCATCATATTTATATATATATATATAAGCTGCTAATAGAAGAGAAATAATTGAAGAAAAACTTTCCTGCAAATTGCAATAAAAAAACATTGCCCTGTTTTTAATTTAGGCACCTTTATTATAAAACTCAAATTACATTAGGTAGGTACTGAGTCAACACTATATACAGGTGCGACTATAAGTCGTTTTTCTCACTGCAGATAACAGTATTACACAAATATCTATCTTTATTACTATTTGTTTTCTTCAACATTTTTACTGACGATATCTGTTCATCAATTCTACATCTTTCGGGAATCCTATGATATTTACATAGAATACTTTGTTGATTAACCACTGTAAGTTATCAGGTAATGTCCTGAAAAATAAATGTAATGAAAAGTGAAACCATTACTTATTAGGAAAATTCCAACAATTAATATATAAAAAATAATTAGTAATATTGGAATAATTGTAGTTAAACTTTGAATCATCATTATCACCAATACTAAACATACATAACTAAATAGTAAATACTTATAACTATTAACTATGGTATATAATATGCATTACAGATGAATCATAGTATTTAATTCAACTATATTAGGATTTAGCAGTTGATTGACAGAGTTATTAGGTTGAGTACATAATATAAATGAAATGTGAATTAGCGCTTCAGTAATGAAGATTTTTTTTAACTAGGGGGAACACGCAGCAACACAGGCTATCGTGTGTGAGGTGGTATGGTAGGGGGGTTCTTTTGTATATTTTTGTAGGTTTTTTTTGTGTTGGTTGGCTTGTAACACGTGTTTGTGTATGTGTGGCAATGATATGTTGCTACAAATCCCGGGTGGTCACCCATCCTGGAGCTAGCACACTGGCTGGTACAGTCAGAGCATTTTGGCAGATTGAGCGTACGACCGCTCCTCACCAAGCCACAATAAATTGTTATTAACGTTTAAAATATGTAAACATACCTCACAAGTTGAACGGGAAGCATGAAGTGATTTGGAACTGAAAAAATTCTTCGATTTTCTAGTATACCATTCATAACGATTTCACCAACAAAAGATGTGGGCATTTCTGGTAGTCTAAAATACATTTACGTAGTTGTATATACAATTATTATTTTTGCTTTTATTGTGCATAATATTATGCATTGATATTTAACGTATACCTGAGCTCTAAATGTTTAGATATTTCCGGATTTGTCTCTATAAAGTACGGACACACCGTCGTCGACACGACGGCCGATTTCAATGCTCTCAGTTCGTTATGCAAACTCTCCATCATGCCTAGACAAATATATTATATACATGAATAATAATTATTAAAATATATTAGTTATAAGTTATAACGTTATTAATAATAGGCATTATAAATAATTTCGTCATAATGTTATGATGCTATCCAATAAGTTAAAAACAAAATTCTATTATAAATTATAATAATATAATATGTTTGATTTAATATTATAGTTTTATAATTTACTAGGTATTGTTTACCATTTGTCGCCCATTTGGCGGCCGTGTAAGTAGATATTCCAGACAATCCACTCATCGACGACATGGACGATATCGCAACAATTTGTCCGTGATTTCTTTCCAACATCGAGGGCAGTAATTCCCTATTGATCTACAACATTTTTATTGTAATCTAAAAACCATTAGTGGACAAAATTAGGAACTTAATTTATTAATCTATGTTTAGTGTATTTTACTGTTTTATAATGAAATCAGTTCAGACATCGAAAACAATTTAAACACGAGTTATGTATTGAAAAATTGGAAAGTTGAAAATAGCTCTCTTGTACATTTTAAAGATTGTGGTTTAGGGCAACTAATAGCATATTAAATGAATCACCTAACTTAAAAATCTTCAGATATGTCACTAAATACTAATTAATTGAAAGGTAAAATTAAAATCGACGGAAATAGCACGATTCCATATTATTATCATGTACATGTAACACTAATGTGTTAGTATTATCGTCGCGGCGCAGCCACCTGTTTGCAGTGCTGCGGGTTAGGTCACCCACCAGGCACTGCAGAGCTCACCCAAATCTGTCCCAAGAGATTGACGTTGATCAGGTCCTCGATAAGTTGATCAGATTCGGGATTAACGTACATGTGGGCCAATACGATGCCTGCGTTGTTCACCACTATGTCCACGGGGCCCAGTTCTTTTACGACGGTCTCGTGCATGACCTTGATTTGCTTCCGGTCGGTAACGTCCACTTTGTAACCTTTGGCCATTCCGCCGTGATGATTGATCGCCATCGCCGTCTCTGCGCACCCTTCGCCGTCGACGTCAACGCAAGCAACTTTGGCGCCCAACCTGTGGAACCTCAAGCAAAGCTCGCGGCCTAAGCCTCGAGCTGCTCCGGTAACCTGTACAAGTTGAATAGAATATTTTTTTATTGGTCTATAATATAAACTAATTCTAATGTACGTGTATATCAATGGTATACACGTATGATGATATAATATCATTATATTATGCACATATAGGCGTATTTGGGGGATGTGGACGATTAACGTGGACTGAATTATTGCACAAAAATATTACCCCCGCTGCACCGATGAGTGTAGAATAGTATAAATTAGAAAATCCACCAAGCTTTGACACTGTAATAATGTTATAATAATTAATAAAATAAAATACACTAGTTTATCCCGTTATCCGTTAAAAATGGCAACTCTATCTAACCTAACTTGCGGTGGATTACGGAACACGCTATTGATAGCACACTTCATATCGATATTTTTTAAAATTTTTACACTCCGATGAGTTGGCTATAAGTACAACACAGTCACCTTGGTAGGCAATGTGCAAAAATTTGATTTGATGCATGCTTATATATACCTGATCTGTCCGATTAACCAACGGCAACCAATAAACAAAAAAAGTACTAATTTCTACTAAATATATTTATAATTTTCCTGTAACCAATACCAACCATTTATAAACAAACATTTCTTTCGTAAATCTCAAAACCTCTCTCTGAGCATCTCTCCGGGTTGGACCTATCGAGTCCAATTATGAATATAAATCATCCAGGGAACCACTTAAATTTACACAAAAAATTTCATCAAAATCGGTCCAGTCGTTTAGACAGGCATAAAGGACTTGCATTTATTATTATTCATTGATTATAATGATGCTAAATATACTACTTATCACAAATTCACAAAATAAAAGCGTATCCACTAAAATATACCACCTAAAATGCACCAACAAACATCGGTTTTGGCACTAAAAATTGAGTGGATATAAGAAACACGTGAAAAAAAAACAACCACAATTTGCCAATAGGTACACAAACAAACAATTATAAATAAATAAGTACCATAGAAATTGGTTTTTTTTATATATTACTCACCAAAACCACTTGTCCGTTTATGTTTTTTCGTGGAGATTTATAAAATAGTTGTATTGTTGCCCATAGAACAGCCGGTATTATAAGTAGAACGCACAACAATATTTCAAATATTAATCTGATCGGATTGGCTGGGATTTGTTTGTACTGACATTTTTTGGGAGTCTTATTCTTCATGATTGCCATATTTGTTTATCTTCAGTTACCTACCAGCTATTTAAAATTAACTAAAGTAATTGAAACCGAACAAAGCTGAAATGATCAATACTTAAAATTATTTGACGCCGCAATCGATCATATGATTCAATGACACACTTTTTCAAAAATTGCTGAGTAACTTACAATTAAATTTTATGTCAACAAGAAAATGACAATGTAATGCAAATTAATTTCACAGATAACTAATGAAAGTGCACGAAGGTTAATATGGCAATATTATTTTATATTAGTATTTTAATATTTTATTTGAGAAACAAATATAAATTTTAATATTTCAATGCCATGATTCTGGTTGTAGTACTTGGAAAAATTTACTTCTTATGTAACTTGTAGACTTACAATTATTAGTTAGTGATTACTTATCATCTCAGTTTAACGATTATGATTCAGTTCATTCTCCGTTTGATTGTAATTACGCAGTATAAATGACAATATAATACTACTGAAAATTGTATTTTTATTATTATTTGTTCTTTAAAGTGAAATATATTACTTATTAGTTATCTAATAGTTGTTAGTTATTACTTATTACTGACGACCGTCTCAGGTTATCAATTTTATCTTGATAGTTGGCACTTGTTAAACTACTGCGAAAAGATATTTTAAGAGTAAAAAAATACAACAGATTATTAAAGCACATAATAGTGCTTTGGTTTTATTTTTAGCGGGCCAAAGAATGTGTTTTACAAAAAATAGGCGCAAATTAGACACACCCTGCAGTATAAAACTCCTCAAATGATACGCCTGGTACCTATACCTATACAACTAAACTAAACCTAATATATGATACATATACATTTATAATTTATATTTATTAACAGTTAATGAGTTAAACATATTTTAGGCAAGTCACAGCTGGTATATACTATGTATAAATATCGTATTTCAAATACGTTTTGAGTTATAATAACTAACCTTACACCGTATTGACTAAAGGTCACGTCTCACGTCACACCACTAATAAAATAGGTATAGATTAAAAATATGAAAAATATGAAATTGTGTTTAGGTGTTTATACAATTATTTTTATCAAATAAAATAATAGATTAATAACAGTAATTTTAGTATGCTTAAAAGTTATAATAACTAAAACTAAATAAATAAATTTTATAATTTATTATCAACTATAGGTATATGATAAATTATTATATAGATGGTAGATATCACAGTATTCATCAAAGATTAATTTTTTATACATTTAAATTTATTATAGGTACTATCGTTGTTTTATACTTAAAATAAATATATTAATATAAATATTATAATTTAAGCGTATAATTATATTTTATAACGTGTCCTAATCAATATTACATTATCTTAAAATTGCTTATTATTTTAGTAATTAACATTATAAAATATAACATACTTGTACATACAAATAATAATAATAGACTTTTTTAAATTAACATTATTTTGTATTGGTCAAAATAACTAAATAATGGCATTATATTTAATAATGTATACAAATGTTGAAGTTCTTAAAAACGTATATTTTGATTATTATAATATAATAGGTATACCCATATTCAGATTGTAATCCGGCCATCAAGACATTAATTTATATTTTATACTGGCCTAACAAACACAACAAACATTATCATTTAAGTGTAATTATAATATATAAACGTAATTCTAAAATGGCAAAAACATTAGTTCTTCAATATCTTAAAAATCTCATAATTATCATCAAGTATTTTACCTATAGTACTTTTGGAGTTGCCACTTCTAACGTGATTGTAGGCAGTGGTTTGCGATCGCCTACTTTACGCATGATCAAGGAACTGTTTGATGAAAGCGTAGACTTTTGAATTCCAGGTTTGATCACAGTTTTCACGGAAATCACACTTTTTACTGTCGTCGAATTTTCCACCGTCTTTACAGCGACCATTTCCGTTTGTTTCGTAGCCGACCTTGAGACAATATTTTCGACCGAAGGTACGGTCTGCTTTTTCGTGTCTTCTTGTATCTCCATCAGCTTCGTACTCGTTGTAATTCCAGACTTTTCTATAGTATCTGTCGGCTTTACTGCTGTTTGTGGGTTTTTCATTGTTTTCATAGCGACCATTTCCGTAGGACTTTTGCTCAAATCTGCCGTCGTCGTTATACCAGTTTGGGTGTCTGCAGCTTTTACTGCATTAGCCGCTTCCACTGTTTTTTTAACGACCTTTAAGACTTCGGAGAATGTTGGTTTCTCCACAGTTTTCATGGCGATCATTTCAGTTGGTTCGTTAGTTGTATTCGTATTTACTTGCGTGTCCAAAACATTGACACGCGATGCGTCCACTACTGCAGGTTCTTCGACAAATTCCTCGTGTATCACACTGTCCGTAGGTTTTTCTATAGTTTTTATGACGATCATCTCAGTGGGTTTGACTCCGCCGACCTCCACAACTTCTACTATTTTTACGGTGGTTATTTCAATTGTATTATCTTCATTGTTTGTGTTCTTTTTCGATGTTTCATTGACTTTAATAATTTCGTCTGTTTTTACATCGGATGATATGCTTACGGGATTTTCTTCGAAATTCGTTGGAAGTATCTCGACTGTTTTTACGTCAGTCTTCGAACCGTTCGCAATCTCCGAAGCCAGCAAGGTTGTTGAATTAGTAGATTTTTCTACTGTTTTTACAGCTACCATTTCAGAAGAGTTTACCGCAACACCACCTGCTGCAGTGTCCGTCAAATCGACATTTTTCTCAGATGCATCCAATGCTGCACTCGGTGTTGAAGCTTCAGGATTACGGTCATGATTCACGATGGTTTTTTGACCATCAAGATCGGCCGGAACGTCATTCTCAAACACTGTAGGCGCTACAGCAGCCTCGGGTACTAAGCCTTGTAATTTGTCTTGGCTTGAAGTCGACGTTGAGTACAGTTCTTCGTATCCCTCTGATGATGTCGGAGAGTATGTTGGCGGTAACTCGCTGTAGGGTACTTCCGGCTTTACAGTTGCCATCGTGCAGTTCACCGGTTTCTTGTGATGTTTTTTTTTCGATTTTACACCGTTGCGGCGCCCGAATATTTGCTGCACATTATTGCCGTGCAGTATAGCTCTCTGGGCGAACTCATCGCTCATCAACAATATTATGGCGACATCGTCCACGTCTACCTGCACATTTAATTCACCCTGTTGCCTCTGGTCATATGTGACCGTAGGAGCTGCATGTAGGGCCCCACAGAAAACGGCTGAAACACAAACGATCTGCAACGCAACCACCATCGTGCTGTATAACTACACTACTGCAGCTCCTATTGCAACGATATGAAGGCTTGGCAACGATCGAGAAGTATTTTTTCCCCTAGCGCACTCACTGGTCATGTCTTCGGATAACCGGTAGTCACAACAACAAACTGGAAATTACGGTTTAAATACACCGTACCACGGAACTTTAATTTTGCCTATAGCCGAGTCCGTACGTAGGTACAAATACCGTTATAACATTATATTGTGTGTACACTGAATTGGTTAATTATATAGCTGTTTTGACCACCATCGGCTGAGATTTAAGAAAAGTATTATTAGCATTTAGACGGTCATCGAACTCGTTCAGTCGTGATATTGACCTTTATCACATTACCGAGAAACGAGTAGGTGACAATTAAATACAAAACTCGTTCTTAAAAATCATTAACTTGTTTGTATAGTGTGTAGGTAGATGAAGACTGAAGAGGTATGTAGTATAATAGCGCTACTCTATAGTACATAGGTACTAGCAATTCAAAACATATCTGTACATCTCAAGTAGATGTCTATAGTGAAAGAAAAAATCATCTTAAAATAAGAAATCATAAGGTTACAAACTTATAGTACATTAATTGTAATATCGAAATGTAATAATGATTAATTTGAACTAAATTAAATTTTACTATTAATATTTCGAGCTTTAATTTAATTTTGTACTTCTGGATCTAGAATAATCAACTATCTAGTGTCTGGTGTCGTATTATTTTGATTTCATGTCGTAAAAAAACATAATCGAAAAAAAAATCATACTTCATGACGACTGTATGTATTTTATTTTTAAATAGGTATTGGTAGTCTGCAGTTAACCAACGTATCCGTTATTACGAGTGCGCGAAATCGTGATTTTTCGTGCTTGCTAACGGAGCTGTGTTCATCACTTCGCGTGCATCTCAGCGAATCAATTCGACAGTCATGGAAATGGTTGTCCGAATTTTATTCCACACGCTACTCAGAAAATTTTCGATCATCTTATTATTATTATTTTTATTATTGTAATATTTTTTATACTTTATTGTGTTCACGGTTACCGTCAGCAAGGTATGCGAAAGCCGCACGCTTCATTAATACATGTGCGTAAAACACTTACATTATGTACAACACATGCAACTTATGTTTTAGTTATAGCATAATTTAAGTAGGTACTTGTTTAATTCATACGACCATCATATTACATAGCTATGGTAGAGTTGTGATTATGGGGAAGGATTCATAGTTTAAGAATACACTTAAATCTCATAAAAGGTGCCTATTGGAGCGTGTGTGGTGTGTGGTAGCCAGTGGGCATTGACGGACCTATATAGTGGCGGTAAGTCAGTACTCGAGAGTCGAGACACATCTAATCTTATTGAACTTGCATCGCCCTTATAGTACATAATATTCAAAATAAACGAGCAAGAGAATTAAAACAAACGTAAATTGGAACAATGCTTTTCGAACTCCACGTTGATCTATCTCAGTGGCGGATGATTCTTCAGTAACGTCTATGCGTCTAGAAAATCATGCCAGACACGCGTGCACATACAAGTATATGTGCCTACATATCAATAAATAATACCCAATAACCCATAATAAACACAATAGGTATACACTTTGTGTTACAGGCCTCGTCTGGTGTAAATAATCGGAGAACCGGATAAATAATTGTATTACTAAAATCATAACATACTAAAATACAAGATGACACGTGTCAGTAGTGAGTGTGTGACACGAATCGTAGTGTCCACGGAGAAAAAAAGTCGAATATTAACCATAACGACCAACATCGAGCTTGACAACAGGTTCTTTCATTTTTATTTTTCTGTAGGCACGTATATTATGTAGAATATACGTTGCCTTGTTGACGTTTTATTTTGTTTATTTCCATTCGAATTCTTGAATGCATTCCTCGTCACGTCCACGTACATAATGTATATAATATATTGTATATATCTACTATTGATGAGCACGCCTTTATAGATCGAACGAATAACAATAATCACTTATCAAATAATAAACGTATCTATATACTACAATACTTTCTGCAATGTACAATAATAATACAGTAGTTTACGTAGTTCGTTCAGGCAACTAAAATTATTATGTATTTATAACAATATAAAGCACGCGCCTCTATGATATATGTATAGTATATAATACCATACGTAATATTATAATTATAAAAATATGAAAACTGTAATGGTGTTCCACACCATTACAGTATAATAGATATATAAAATCCATCATTTCATGGTAATGGCGTAGTAATGTTGTCTCGATCACCAATTGTACCTATACTGGCTATACTCTTGGAAAAATCAATCCTTACAAAAGTTCGGCTAGTGTAGCAAGTAACAAATACGCATTACGGGGTCGTTGACCAAACAGCATTTTGTTATTAATAATATTTTACATTACATTTAAACTTAGGGTAGTTATAATAAAATATTCAAACAGTTAATGTTAAAGATATATTTACATATAATATGTTTATTATTACATTTATGTTTTTATACTTTTTTTCTAAAACTTTAACGGTTATTATTTATATTTTGTAAATAACGTATTTTTATAGACCGGTAGCATATTTTGCGTTCCTGTTTTAGTTCTTAACTGTTATAGTGGATGGAGTGTATGAATGAAAAAAAAACCATTGTTCGAATAGACTTCAATCGAAATATAATCAACTTACGTGTGTATAGTTTAAACTTGACCGTCGTTGTTCAACCAATCATAACATACATTTATATTTTACATGCAATTTTTTTCTAGAACTAAAATTCCACACGTACGCTGGACGGTCGTGTGACGATTTTTTTAGTCTATGCCATTATTTCTGTACATATTCTTGGTATATTTGGTCACGATTCATTTGCTAAATAAGTAAATCGAAAACACATTGTCGGCTAACGCACACTTACAGACTACAGTTATAGTTGTTACAGGGTATAAAAAAATTATCAGATGGTGAGGACGGATATATAACTGCAGTCTGCAGGTACCTATATGTGTAATTTTTATCATAATTCTTTCTCTGCGATTCATATATTATGTATATAATGTATTCGAATAAACAATAATTAATCATGGTTTAAAATGAAGTTTTTTGTTTGTTATAACATTATAAGTAGGTGCAAACAGATTTTTCTTGTTTAAGTAATTATGGATCATAGAGAATAGAGATGTACCTAACCTAACCGATAGGAATTTATTTATTTTTACATTAATACAGAAATACAAATTATATAATGCAGGCGATTAGTCTATATGACTAGATAGGCCTGCATTTACATTTAACCTTAAAATAACTAGATGAAGGCGTACCAACGGAAGTATGAAACATTTCAGTAACTATATTTATTGTCTATATGACTATATACATTTTAAAGATACTTAACTATATTTTTTTTCATTTTATAATATTGGATATATTTTAAACTCGTTTAATACACACCAATATATAAAAGCAGAAAACTAGAAAAGTATCAAATTATACGCTTTGTAATCAATTGCTATAGTAATTTCTTAAGTCTTGACATTTAATTTGTACATATACATAATTGATGAGTATTGATCGATTTTGATTTGTGTCTGTTCCAGGACAACGAACAATATATACAATGTACATATATTAATATGTCTATTACATATCTTGGAAAGAATTTTGTAGAAATTTGCAATTTGAATACAATATGTAATTAGGTACTAATTACACATCACTAGGGGGTTCTGTTGTATGCAACCCGAATCTCATCGTCTTTGCTCCGCTTACACCGACCACCTCGACGAAACACACCTCGAACTTGTGTCTTGACTGTCTATATAAGCCGATTCATTCGCCTTCGGTTCGCCATTCATTCGCCACGAGATATTCCACAAAGAGAAATAACTTGTACAATAATTTCAGAGTTTTCGAACGGAACAACAAAATCACAGTTTGAAACGCATTCAAGTTTGGCCCACATTTCAAACGGCAACGTGGCAAATTTCGGAACGTGATAGAATATATAGGTATAGGTACATATTGGTGCATGTGCGATGTTTCAAAGTAATTGTTCCGGATTCGATCGGCTTCAAAATACCATTATATAGAAATATATGAAATACTAGGTATATTTTATGTATTATCTTTCTTTTAAATTAAAAATAACCCTCAGCAGGAGTGGCCATTATTGCAGGGACTAACATATCGACACGGACCCGTATATTGACGAGCGACGACGGTTCATTTGCATATTACTTAAATGAATATGTATTACATAAAAATGGATAACCGGTTATCAAATACGACAGTAAACTATTAAGCCGGTAACGATGAATTTGATATTGGCAGAGATGTACCTAGTCGGAGTTTTAATTTGGCTATTCGGCTAGTAATTCTAGAAGTTGGGAATTTTAACAAAATGTATTTACAAATAAACGAATAACACAATATACTCTTAATATATTAATATTGTACTTATATATAATTATATAAGTAATAATATACTATATGCATATTATACAAAGTCGACTATATTAAAAAAAAACATTTAATGATGGCGGCAGTGAAATTGATAAATTTCCAATAATTTGAATTAGCATGTGGTCAAAACTCAAATGTTCAAGATCTATCAATGGCCGCTATCTTAAAATGAGTGTGATATGTAGTAACAATTTGCATGCAATATAGGTAAAAATATACTACCTATGCACAATTTACTTTCATTATTACATACAATAATATTAATGCATATTCAGAGAAATTTACTTATGTATAAATATATACCTATAACATACTACTTTAATATTATAATACCTATCTTATTATACTATATTTATATATTTAAATATGTATATTGCACATGGATTTAGAAACAACGGGTCTGACTAAGTCTTAGACACCAAGAACTGTTAATTGTACTTATATTTGTATGTAGGTACGACGATTTAATCTCTTTTCAGAATATATTTTTGTACCGCAGCGGGGTATCTGAACGCGAAAGTCAATGACATGGTTTAAAACCATAGGGAATACTTATACAAGAGAGGAGGCGATAAGAAAACAGATATAGAGAGAGAGTGGTTGCGATGTACAACAGGAATCATACGATATGTGGTACAAGTACAAGTATGTACAACTAAAAAAATATAATTATTACAAGTCAAGCAAATGCAAATGTATGTTTGTAAAAATGGTTTTAGGTATGTCTTTCGTGAATAATATGTAGGTATGCGTGTATAATATACATGTATCAATAATGTTAACCAAAAAAAGGAAGTTGAATTTTAAAACTTTAAATAGACCAAACATAGACATTTGAAATTATCGAATTTTAATACTCAAAAACAAATGCATTAAGTCTCCTATTTATGTTGAAGGGGGATGGTAGTTAAAAGGGGCTCCAAATCCTCCTTGAAGTCTTAAGTAAATTGTTTTTATCACATAATATTTAGGTATAATATATTTAAGGTTCAAGTATTGTATTATAAAATAAATATTTAAAATACATTACATATTAGAAATTATAGAAAGACGGCAAAAATAATTTTAGCAGTAGTATATTTTAGATGCATATTTCTTCCCCCCATCGATACGACGACGATATTGTCTTATGAGACTTGAATATTCGAAAATTTAGAATCCGAAGGAATGCATTATTAGAGTATAAAACGGGATTGAGTATGATTGGTGAATCACCCTGTATAATATACTGTTGCGGTCGAGATCGCTGTATAGTTCTGCAAAGCGATATTACGGGTCGGCGTACCGCTGCTCGAACTCGTCCGCCGGAAACTAGACGGACCGCGGGCCTCCGCAGGGGCGGCTCTGACGCTCAGTCGCGCATCAGACGCCGTGCGGGCCACTCGTTAGCCGATATCCGTGCATGTAGCAGTGCTGTAATAGTATCCGTTGCCTGCTGCAGTGTCGTCGCGCGTACAGACCGAACGGGACACGCCGGGTCATCGGTATACATCATCGCAACAACAACAATATTGTTGTACAGGCGTATCGTGCACAACGCCCTCATCGTTAATATCGTAAATAATTTATTGATATTATAATACTATCTCGTCCGTGCTGCAGCTCGCGGCGCACACGACCCGCCGGCATGCAGTACTCACAGCGACGGTGGTGCAACTCGGCGGTCCCGGTGCTGGTGCTGTCAGCGCTGGTGCTGTTGACGCACGGCGCCACGATCAAGTTCGACCAGAGTCAGACGGGCGACTACAACCTGCAGATACACCTGAAGAACATCGAACTGTACGCGGTGTTCGACGACTCCGGCGGCAGCGAAGACGAAGTGAGCAAAATGTTACACTAAAAGCTATATATAATACCCCTATATACAATTATAATATGTGGCGTACCTATATATTATATTGTTTACACCTAGGGATCGGAATCTTAAAGATTTATCAGTTTTAGTTTGTCTTGTAGAAAAGCGCAACAATTTCGGTTACACGTGCGAACTATTACAAGGATAAATTATATGACAATTATATAGTTAAATAGTTACTATTTCAATTATTATAATATTAAGCTATATATTATATTATAAGGAAATTATAATGAACTGCATATGTGGTGAGGACTTCAGAAATTTAATATTTGGGATGACTCTGCACCCTTATTCCAACTAATCGAAATCATAGCTCTGATATAGTGGTTCTCCAAATTTAAAAATGATTGAATTGGTTTATACCGATTTTAACCAGTTCCAATATAATTTAGTTACGGTTCACAGCTACGGCGTCTCTCAAGTTGTGTCCAAAATTTTAGCTCAGCCCAACTCTAGACATTTCCCGGTAGATCATGGATATTATGATCAAAACAATGAATATCAGAATACTATATAAAAGTCACATGATAAGCCGGATAAACGTATAGTTGTGAACCCAGCTTTACCCATAAATAAATTTAAAAAAAAAATGAAATAAAAAATGACAAACGCCATGGAAAAATGCCTTCATATTTTTCTAATATATATAAATAAGTAATACATAATTATATTCAAATATAAAAATAATAAAAAATGTAAATTAGAACTAATTGCCTTATTTATAGCCGATGTAACTAATATCAAAAAGAAAAAGTAATAATAATTTTAATGAAGTATTTTGGTTCCAATACTTTTATAGAGTTCAAGTTATTTTCGGTAAGGTTCAAGACTTGATTGTAAACTCGAGAGGAATTTTGATTGTTATCGATATAAGTGTTATAACAATAAATTGAACATGATTGTAGGTAGATACTAGATACCAACTATAAATTGTCGGTTCGGTTTGACCGGCGCCGATAATAATAGTTATAGAATAGGATGTAATTGGTGGTCTATAAGATCGAATCTGTTTATAGTATTATTATTATCTGAATTCACATAATAAAGACAACTCACTGTTATAATATGTTATGATAATGTGATTAGAATGTTACCATTGGGTGGCTTATCCTCTAACTCAAGTCTTTCAAGCCATTTACATGTAAAGGTACATCTCTACGCCTGCACATAGGTACAATATTGTAAAAATAATATTAACAGATTGTGTATTTTCTAATCAATTATAAAAGTATATATTATATAAATTGGTATGACGTTGTCCTATATAATATAATACAAATTAATAAATATTCGTTTTACTGTCCTAGAGACTTGAACGCGCTGTCATAAATAAATAACTTATTTTTGATACTGTGGATTTTTGCTGACGGTCATCGTTTTGAAACACTAATATTATCAACAATGGTACTAAAAATAGTAAACACTAATTACAACTACATCCATAAAAACGTATACTTAGTTTCATATAATGTTATGTTATAAGTTATAATATAACATTATAATTCAAATCAAAACCAGATTTTTCGATTGGTCGTATTTTATAATATAACATATAGGTCCAATCCATGTATCTATTACAGATAAGTACGAATCACGACACATATATAGGTGACTTTAAAGTTATAACATTAAACGTTTTTGTTGTTTTTTGGTGTTAGAACTTTAAAAGTTTAAAGTACTATACATTTATAGCAATTTTCCCTGAAACAAAAGAATTTTAAAGAAAAATTAGATTTATATTATAGGTATTAAAATTGTTTAACGAAATAGTGTAGTGCCATATATTATAGTTATTTAAAATGGATTTCTGTTCGAATTACCCACACTATTCAGTTTATTCTGACTTTGTATGGACTTAATTTACTCACACAGTTTCAGTTGACCAATTCTTAAGATATATATGTATGTATTACAAAATGTTGATTGCGTATACGATATATGGACATAGGACATAGGTTTAATTTATTAATTGAGTAGATATTTAATGAATTGCTCACGTTAAGCATATAATATTATATGCATGTACCATACTATCATAGTTACATTATACTGCAGAGTATTTCATTTCAGTAGCTAGTATTTAATTTACCTACCTACAGTAATATAATTCTCTAATTAAATTGTTGTATTTTTTTTCCAAATTATTTTTATATGTTTAATGTATAGTTAGAAGAAGTTATAACATTGTAACAAAACGATTTTATTTTTTTTTCTAACTACAACCTATACGTTTTTATTTCATAATCAAGCGTAGAATAGTTCGCTATGAGCAGTTGATTTTTTTTTATTTATCGTAATAAATAATAATTCACTTTGGCTGCACGTTGTAACTGCCATTAGCTACCAATACACAATATTTTTCTTAGCCTAGTTTTTTTTATATAACATTAATAATAGTTTGGTTTTTTAGGATAAAATAATAGGTTTTGGTTAGTTTCTGGAAGGCTTCATCCAAGGCGTTGGGTAATTTGTTTTCTTCGAGATCCTCTGTATATTCACTGCATATTCTGCTAGAAGTGGGAAGTGACTACCTTACCGTTCTATAGTAACTCAATGCGACAATGCGTTTCGCAAATATGTGTGGATGATTGCCGATGGGTTATACTTGAACATAAGAAAACTGCGAGTTTTCCTGATATGTGAAATTCATAAGCTATTTAGAAGACTTATAACTATAGATATATTTATTCAAACTAATTATGCATGTTCATTTTATAGTAAAAATCCACTACTATTTAAAAAGTATTGCCAGTTATTTATTATGATATCCGTCTGCATACGTCGATGCACGCATAAACAATGTTGACAAAACTTAACCTAATAGTATACTTCACACATTTTTTTGCGTAGTACGAAGACTTACCTGACTACACGGACGCAGTCGAAGGTCCGGCAAAACCACCGCAGAACGCATCCTCGACTTACACTCCGACATCGAGCACAGTGGCCACAGCGGCGGTTGTAAGCAGTACGAATTCACCAGCGTTGGCCTTGCTTGACCCGTACTCGCCGTCCAACAGCGACAAGATTGTTCAGATGGTCGAGGCGCTGATCGCTAGCAACGGAAACACTTCCGACTTACCCACCGAACAGCCGCCGCCGTCGGCGATTGCAGTCACACCATCGTTGTTGTCGTCGCCATCTCCATCCGGTCAGTCATCGTCAGCTGTCGCCACAGCTTCCGCTGCCGCGTCCGCAACGAACAGCACGGCCAATCGGAAGTGTGGACCTGGATATTTCAGGGATCCGATGGGTCGGTGTAGGCGCATCCGAAAACCACATTTACCGTGAGAATAGCATATATATATTTAATATAATATAATATATATATTTAAAAACATACTATAATATTATTAGGTACTTTATACTTTATACTACCATATAGTACGTACATAGTATATAAAAATTGTACGTAGGTACCTACTACCTACCTATAAATAGTCGCTCTCCAGTTACCATTAATAACCTTATAAATTTCAGACTACAAAATATAAAAAAATATACATTTAAAATAGATAGGTATCTCTATCTCTATCTCTATATCTCTATCAACCTAGCTAACTTTTCATTTAGTTTATTTACTAATAATTGTTATTATGTACCTATAAATTAAATTATTTTTTTTGGTTGTAGGTTTTTAATATTTGATTTAATGTTGATGTACGTACAGCCGATGATTTATCTAGTATTATAATGCTTACTTCCATTTTTTCCTCTAATTTTAAATATGTTAATGACATTCTGATTTTCGGATTTCTCGTGACATTTGAGGAGTTTTCTACTGGCCTGCAGTATCATATGTTGTAATTTAAACTTTTTGATTTTTTTTTTTTAATAGTTGTTGTTATAGATAGGACAGGTAGGTACCTAATTATGCAAATCAAAATTCCTACGAGTACCTAGTTTTTGAATTGTTAAATTTCAAGTTACAAGGATAATATCCATCATTTTTGATGATGAGTTATGACGCAGACCTTATACTCATAGACCGGCCCCATGAATTAAAATCATCCATGATTAGGGCACTGGTGGTAATATATAAATTATAAACTATGAATAAATGTAAGTAATAATTAATTATATTATGAATATACTATATACATGTATACATAACTGCGTTTTTATGCGATCAAAAACCTACATTATTCTGTACGAACATAAAATGATTGGTTAAGTGATCAACATTAGGTAAGCAAAAATCTATGGTATAATGTTTGGTGATAAATATGAAATAAGTATATAGATTCAAATAACATATAATTTTTTTTCATATTTTATTATTTTCTAGGGGTAGGGGGCGCATGTTCCCCCCAATTGTGGCTCTTGGTCTCTCAGTCACTTAATCGCGCCCGATTATATCTCACGATGCGCAATGTTATTATTATAGGCAGGGCTGGTCTATGGTATAGGTCTATAAAAAGTATTGTCTCAAATATCAGTGTTTGCAGTCGAATTTTGGAGCCTCTCGCTGTAGGTATAATACCTATATACGTAACATGAAAATTAAAGTATTTCTCAAAATAAATAAGCACCAGGCCACGTTGAACGTCTAGTCACTGTATATTATTATAATTTATATTCATGAGCATAATGCCATAATACTAGCTGTATTATACAAATTGAAATTTTATGCATGGCGTGTAGAAAATACTAACATCGGTAAAAATTTCATGGATGTAATGTTTTTTTTTAGAGTTCACCATAAAACAAAATCGATTTTTCCCGAAAACGAGATTTGCGTAAAAATCTCCGGTTTCTTTAATCTGTTTTTTTCTGACGCTTTTGAAAACTTCTAGGAAGTTTTTACTCCTGACCCCTTGCAGTTTCAACTAGATTCATTTTTTTAACATAGAAAAGATGCTGAAGTAGAAAATTAAAGCATTTTTAAAATCATAAGATGTGATGACAGACACACAACATTGTAAAATCAATAGGTACATATGTCTTGTACTTGTTGACAACAATTTAAGAAACTTAATTAGGAAAAACTTTTTGTTTTAAAAGTATCAATACTGTAAAATAATAAATATTAACTTAAATAAAAACATCATATTACTAATAAATCCCTAGTGCAGTAGTATACCTTTCCCTAACTCAGAGGTCCGAGTACCCGTCACTCATGTTCATGGCACCTATATGTCTATGGATAGGTACCTAATGACCTGCAATGTCGGTTAAAATAATTAAATGATGAATGATGACTAGGAAATTATAGTAGTTTTAGTCTGTATTCCAATTACCTTACTACACGAGTAACTACCTATATTATGCAATTTTGTATTTTATATTTTATGTGAAACTATTAACAATGACTATTGGGTATGTTTAGTGCAAAATATAACTCAGAAGTTACTAGTTAAAATTTCGTTTTGTGTGCATCAAAATCTTAAAAAACAAAACAAATATCTACGTGGTAAGCAATTTAAAGCAAAAAAGAGAAGTATTCTTTTTTATCTGAAACATTGTCATATTAACATGCATACCTACTCTAAAATTTCAAAAACTAGAATTTGAATCTTATTAAAGGTTAAAAAGAGGTGGATGAGCATGCTTATTTAATTACCCTCGTGTATAGTGTACATATTATATTAATAACTTTCGGAGGACTTTCTATTTTGTTGAAGGTTTGTATAGGATTTTATTGATTGAAAGTGCAACATCGTGTTAAATGATAGACATAGACGGTAGTTGATACGTTGTGCAGACACATTTAGTCGGATAGGCATCGGCGATCGGCAGAACTAGCTCAAAATAAATGTAGGGATGGAAAATATAAATTATAAAATGTACCTGTACCTACTATATAATATGCGTTTTCCAGAACCAACTGTAACGGTTTCTGCGAGTACTTTTCTTGTGTGTACGGTATATGTAATTCATGTTATTAAAATCAAATATTCGCCTCACGATAGCAATAATGATATGATTAGTTTATTTAGTTATACACTTATACCGTTTTGCCGGATACACGAATAACACTGTACCTACATTCGCGGTAGGTAAATGAATTTATAGGTAGTACTGTAGTAGGTACCTATATAACATCCATATATTTTTACATTAATACATTATACGCAAGTACCTATAGTTGTAAAAATTCGAGTGTGTGACGTCAACATAATATCTTTTAAAATAATTTATTATCGCCGCACGAAACCACTTTGAATCATATCTAATAAACCAGTCGTCACGTATCTACAGTGAGACGAGCTCCATTATAATACATTTATGTATACAATGATCATGTTCAAATACCTACATAATGTTCCTACGTTTCTATATACGACCCGTTCCGGGTGCCGAACAGGGTTCGGATGAAATTATGACTTGCAAAGTACCTATAGCTCATGTCTAATACTATGTGATAACTGAAATGTTATTATTTTAATATTATTGTTAGTTTGAAAGGTGTTCGTGTGGAATGACTTTAATTTTTTTTTTTTTTTTGTCTGAAGGTACATTTTCCATGCTGCGTCTGGATTCTAGACGCTGCAGGGAAGACGTACCTACACTACCTACCTTTACTGTACAATAATATTGTTTTAATTACACCGGTATATGCGTTTATGTACCAATGATCTATACATTAAAGTTATCCGTCATTCGATTTTATCTCTGGACTCTCCAAATTCGTGTATCGGAAGCAACTCGTGCAAGCTGCGCACTAACACCGCTTATACGTTTGCAGTTTCGGAATTGATAATCCGTGATTTTAATACAGCAGTTCATACAAAATATGTGATTTGTTTTGTGTTTCCAGGTTTTTGCAAATGGTACACACTCCAGGAGTGATCAAGTCATTCCAACCACAGCAAAGGACCACCGAAGACATAAGTGTGTCGAAAAATTAAAAAGAAAACATAGACTAAATTAATTTTGTTTTCATATGCTGACATGCTGCTCCGAACGAATTACGTTTTAATATTTATTATTTATCTTTAATCTACTTATGCATAAGAGTTAACATAAATTATTATAATATTTAACCGTGTGTAATATATATATAATTTATTAAAATAAATGTTATTTACATGATATTGTTTGAAGTTAAACATTCAACTTTGTGCCATTATTCATAATTGTTTACGAAAATCTAAATGCTGCATTAAATGAATCAGTAGACTAGCTAGGGTGAGGGTGAGGGGGGCTTAACCACGAAATATCAACTTACTATACCCGATGGAACCCTAGCCCTAGTAATAAAATATTGTAGCCCCCTCCCCCAATAAAAAAATCTTGGGTACAGCACTGAGATGAATGTTACATACATCAGTCATATTTAAACAGGGCCACCCATATATTTTCAAAAAATTATTGTTAAAAAATAATAACAAAAAAAGAATCATAATAATATGAAATAATTTACCAACATTTTATATTTCAATACTTATGAATTTGTATTACTGTTGCTTACTTATGTAATTTTATATTTTATTAAATCTAGAGTAATTTACCTTAATGCATTTTTACAACTTAATAACTATTTTATTTAATTAAAGTAACTTAAATGAAAACAATAGTACTCAATAACATAATGATGTTTAGTTAATTTTAAATGTATTTTTTATAATAATTGTTGAGCTATATTAGTGTTTACTTGAAGCTATAATAAAAAAAAACAAACATAATGATGCTGTACAAATATATTAGCATATTACTATTTAAATGGAGGATGATTTTGCTGTGTGTTAAAATTTACTGTCGCCACTTCCTAACTGTATTCCTTATCCCTTGTTGCTTTTATATTTATATAGATTCTTTACTTTCTTATCCACGAAACAGAAATCCAAACTAGTTATAATTATTAAGATTTACTAAATAATTGTAAAATAATTTTTCATTTATTAATTTATTTCAACCAAATAAAATATACATCATACTATGTGGTTTAAAATTATAACAAGCACCAAATCATAATAAGTAAAAAAAAGTAAATCTTTTTTAATAATAATGAAAAATTATATATTTTATAATACATAGGTACATACTATTGCATTTAAAATACATTTTCTTAATTGGTTTTCTGATTATTTAAATAATTATCTCCTGAGTTTATCTCTAAGGCTATTTTCTTTGTAGTTGATCTTTTTTTTTGCAGATCTACTAGATCTTACTGAAGAGGTTGAATCATTAATATCTGACGCAATACTTGTTTCACTTGATCGTTTACCACGTTTTCGAAATGTTATGTTTCTCATCGTACTTGAATCAATGGGAGATATTAAACCACTGTGCCGTACTTCAGTTTCATTAAATGTATTATCCATACTACTACTTGAAGGAGAAACAATTATTGGCACATCAGCTTGAACTTCATTGGGTGTCATTAATTTAGGAGAATTATTAACATATATTGTTGCATTTGTATTGTTGTTAGAACATTGGATCTGGTTTTCTTGTGTATTCAACCAACTCGGGCCTTCACCTAAACTTCCATTTAATCGACGCTTAGGACTTTCAACGGCTTTGGAGTTTTTCAACATAGCGGCAACATCTTTTAATCTTACATAAGGTTCCATATTAAGTTTACAGTGAGGTGAGCTTCTATAACTAGATCTCTGTGGCCTTTCTGGTGTTGGTTCAGAACTACAACTTGGGCTTTCAATGATAGGCAACATATCAAATTGTTTTAATGAAACAGTTGGTTGACTTATAGTCATACCATGGACCATAGGTCTTACAGTTTTAGTCTGTTTTTCTTTCATTTCTTTGTTAAAGTCTTTGACTTCAAATTTACTCATCTCATGTACATTTTTTAACATAGATGGGATACATTGTGACATAGTTACCAATGAAGGTATACACTCTTGTATAGTTTGTTCGAGTACACTAAGTTTTCTATGCAAATTATTTTTCTTAGCAGTCAGTTGAGTATTTACATTTTTAATAGCGTTATTTTCATTTTGCAACGCCAATTTCTCTAATAACAAACTATTTCTAGTCCTTGATAATTCTTTATTTTTGTCCGATAACTCTTCAATTTGCTTTTGTAAATTATTATTTATTACTAAGCAGCGATCAAGTTTTTTGATAAAAGTGCTATTCTTAGACTTGTTTCGATTTTGAACCAATACTGGTTTAGGTGCCATGGCAAAGCAATGTGTATATACTTGTTAAATTTGTCTTGGGCCTGAAATAAAACAAATATACTCAAAGTTAAAAAGTTCAAGCAAAATAATCATATAACCTTGAAGCATAAGAATATTGCTTAAATTGAGGCATACAAGTTATGTACCTTAGGTATTGATATAACAATTTTTAAGTTAAAATGAAAAAAAACCAAGATAAATTCACCTTCATTAATGAATGAACCAAGAAAGTTCCATATTTTTTTATTAAATAGAACTTGAACTGAACAAAATTATATTTTTAGTGAATTTCAAATGTTTAAATAACGTTTATTTTTTAGGTACTTAGGTGTTATAATATATACTTGCTAAACTACCAATCATTTCATCATTTTAGCTAAATTAAAAAAAATTTAATCCCTTTTACAAATTATAGGTTACAACAAGAGGCAGGATTTAAAGATTTTACATATTTTTACTAAGAGTATGCAGCTCTAATTGGATAAGCTTTCTCGACAATTCATTTTCCTATGAACTGCTATACACAATTTTTTATAGTAAAAAAGCATATTTCAAGATTAAAGAAGTATAAAGTGTTTGTGCGTTGAATCACTTTACTCTTTCTGTATTCATAGAGGAGTTACTAAAATTCCACAACACATAGTGACAAACTTTATCTGTGAAGTTTTAATTTTCTTGATAGTATCAACCAATAGTATTTAATAGTTAAATTAAAAAAAAAAGAAGAACTACATTCTAAAACTGATAACTTTAATTGTATTTGTTTAATCCAAATTATAAAAACACTATGTTTCTATGTCACAGATAAAGTTTTTCCCTATGCGTTGTGGAATTTTGGTAATTCTACTATGAATACACAGGGAGTAAAGTTGTTCCGCACAAAACAGTTTTTGCCATGTTGTACATTTGTAAGACGGAGACAACACATGCGGGTACCACGTTTTCTAAAAGAATATTTTGTGTAATATAATATGTTTTAGAAATATATTACCATATTGGGATTTAATTTGAATACTTTATGAAAAAAATTCCAAATTATTTTTGACTTCTGTCAGTTTCTACCACTTATGAAGATGAAAAGACCCAATGACAATATTATACAATAAAAACATAAGATTGATAAGAAAATCAATTATTATTCTACCTATTTTGTGATTAGAGATGGGGCATCGAAAGAAAAGTATGGATAGGTACATGAAGATTAGAGATTAGAGATTTTCATGGATAGGTACTTGTATGAATAATAATATTACAATTCGTTTTTAATTTAATTATTTAAAATATTTTATCATTATTGTTTTTTGAATTCATTAATCTGAATTTTAAGTGTGTAACTATAGGCTGCAATCATAATTGTACAATATAATAAAAAATAAACACCAGTACATCACTATAGTACAGATTAAAACCAATGTTTCAGACTGTTTGAATAATTTTTTAAACATCAGGATTTATTTAATTACCTAATATTTTTTATAAACTTACTTGTGTTTATTTTTTCAGTGTAAAAAGATTAAGCATAAAAACATCTTATTTTTAAGATTTTATACGCATATAAATCCGGTATCTCTAACTATTGGCTTTAATAAAATAATAATTTAAACAATTTACCTGATATTGATTGAATATAAACTATGGTGTATATTAAATAGAAAACTTATATAAATAATTAATTCAAATGAATGACCATGCCAATACATTAATTTTTTAAAAGAAACACAAACATGACACTGTTTATTTTAAAAAATAAAATTATGAACATAGTTTTGATCTTTTTTGGAGAATAATCCAATCACAGGTCAAAAAACACTTAGAATAGAAGAAATAATATTTATAAACTATATTATTATTTAATGTGGCATAATAATATAATCAAATGGGAAGTTCTGTTCTAAAATGCCTAGTAAAAGGCTAACAGTGATTATGTATCATTTTTATGTGAGTGCATGAGTTTTTAAAACTAGGAATATCTATATAGGAATTATATAATATCAAATATTAAAAAAAATATTATCAAACCCAGAAATTAAAAACATGAGGCCAACAAAAAATAAAATCTTATTTCATTAATAACATTGAATAATACACCTAATATTGTATATATTATTTAAAATGTACAATAAAAAAAGGTATGATAATAATTATTTATTAATTAGGCAGGTATCTGATATTTAGTATTTAGTATTTTAGTCTAATTTCTCTAATTTCTGTCAATGATATTACTGTTGTAAAGACTAAAGAGATTTAAATGTTGAACAATTTTATTTGCTGTAAGCTCCTTAATTATTAAGAACGCAATAGACTAATAATTATTGTAAAGGTTATTTGGTACATATTGAATAATATTATCAAATTAAAAATTAAATTTATCAACAACATAAATATATGAGCACTCACCTACAAGTGAAAGAGTGTTTGAATCACAATAGACCCTATAGGGAAAATTGGACGATAATGATCAGTTAATAGAATTCTGGTTATTATTAATAAATTACACAGGATTGTACTATGGACAATATTCTTGATTGGTGACTACTGAACTGTTAAGTTAAACGTAAAATTTAATATGGGTAATCTATGAAAATTAAACCAATGAGTACGGTATCAGAGTAGCTATTAGAGAGTACACCTTAAATAAGTAATAACTAAAATATAACGATTATTTTAATTGTTAATGCGTAATCGTAATGGCCACGTAATGACCAATGCACAAAAAAACTAAGATTAAAGATAGACCAAAAAGTCCGATCAGTAATTAATATGACTTATGAACAAAGATTACAGAATATAGATAAGGCAATCTTCATCTGTGAATAAGGTTGCACATCAAATGAATCGAACGTAAATAATGTCCAATGGGGAATGGGGATACAACTGAATTTCAAAAACGACATCAGATCGCCACACACAATTACCCACAAGACAAAACGTGTTAAAATAGGATCATAATTTTTTCGCATAACTGACATCACTCATGGAATTTAAGTACGTTTTGAATATTTTTGTTTTGATTTTTTTGAACATTAACTATGAGAAAAAAATATTTTTTTAACATTCGTAATATCTTTACGTACAGGGGCATTAAACGTATAAATAAGATTTTTTTAGGTACATATTTTGTCTTTTCAAGACATTTATATCCTTGCTCTAGTAACCAGTTATGACAGTCATATTTCATTGATATTCATTTTGTAGCATTCTATAATAGCCGAGCAAAATAGAGTCTCTGGGTAAATGAGTTATTCAATTATTATGAATGATTCGTTTGTTCGCACTATTTTGTTTGAGTCACCATCGATGGTTTGCGTTGTTGAACTTTTTTATTTGCAGTTTGTTGTTTCTAGTTAGTACGACCTCGGGTCGGTGGTTACAAATTACAATTCAGTTTTCAGAATTTCAAACTTTAGACTCTGAACAGTTGTATTGGCGGTTGGTGGCCGAAGCGAAAAAAAAACGGAAATACGGAATACGTGTTGCCAACCAAAAAGCAAAAATCGAAAGCACCGCACGACTACCGTCTGTTCCATGACCAGAGCTTGTAATCTCGACGTGTTGTCAAAATTGTCGTCGGGCCCAAGACTGCTATTATATCACAATATATAATTATTCATTAATCATTATTATTCATTGTATACCTCCGTCGTCGGATGCATTTTTAACATTTTACTCTCGCGTCGAACGGTGATTAATAATTATAATAACAGCGTTTACGTGACTCCGGAATTCAACAAATCAAGACGTATCATCGTACATCGTCGATATTATTTATAGCAACAATTTTTTTTCTGCTCCCGCCAACTATGCCTCGACCCGCCGGCCAGTGGACGTCGTAGTAAAACGCACACGCACAACATCCGATCCCGCGCTGAGTGAGTAGTATGTACAATATTATGGCGGCTTGTGACCCGGGCACAACCGAACCCTACGAAAGCTGGGAAGCTCTGGACGATCCGTCTGTAAGTCGTGTTTGTGTTGTTACTGTTTCCCCCCGTTGAGCCAGATGGGTCGGTCAGCCGGCCGATTGCACCCACAGATAATACCTAGTCTTCATTCACTGTCGTCATCTAACGATTCCTTCTATTATTGCTTTTATATATAGGTTCTCAGCACTCAGATAAAAAAAATGCAACTGGCGTCCGCTACCAAAAATGAAAAGTGACTATTTTTTAACATTATTTAGTCGTGTGTATCTTTTGGACATATAAACTATTTTTCCGTGCAAACATTTTTAGCAATAGCAATGTTGTAATATTGCCCCCTGGCTTACAATTGTCATATAACCATCAACAGATGACTATCCCTCAACAGCCCACTGTTAAAATACTCAAACGACCGCAGAAGGATAATGCTGCAAATGAAAATGCTGATAAACCCAAAGTACAAGTTAAATCTTTGGAACAAGTATGAAATTGAATGTACAATTATTGTGAGATATTTTTTAACACATTACATTTTGCTTTAGAGAAAACAAGAGTATGCAGAAGCTAGATTACGAATAATGGGTGAAGAACGTGAAGAAGAGTTGAATGCTGACGATGAAGGGTAACTTTAAACCATTTATATAATAATTACAATACTAAGGAAGATTAATTGAATATAGTATTTTTAATGTTGTGCCTATTAATGACAGGTCTGAATGATTCAATTAGAACATTAATTACATTAATTACTAAATAAACAAAAAATCAATGAGTATTTATCTACTCATTATCATTGTTAAATATATTATAGTTCAATATATTAAGTGTCAATTATATATTTATATATATTAATTAATATTTATACTAAATAAATTATTTGAAAAATTAATCTTGGACTTAAAAGTATTTAGGTATTAGTATGACATTTAGTTTATGTTATTTTCTATATTTTTAAAATGTATGTTGTAATATTTAACATTATTAAATTATTTTAACTGTTCAAAATTACCTATATTTTCTATTAGAGTGCAGGGGTTGCCAAAAGTCCGTATTTAGAACTCAAAATGAAGATTATTTGACTGCTTGATACTTTACTTTAATGCTAATTTTTTTCAATAATTCTCTTTGTGTAGACGCAAAATAGCTTGGCAAGAGAAAAAAAAGTTTTCTGGAACTTGAGAATTGTTTTCAAATCATCAGAACTACCTTAGAAACTATTTGATTACCCCTGTTATAATGTAATAGTTACGAAATTAGTGAAACTCTTGTTAAGAGTATTAACATATGCAGCCTAGGTATATAATACTCAAATATTATATTATTCATATTCTAAGAAATAAATTTAGTATTAGACAAAAAAATTCTAATTTAATTATGGTGGGTGGGAAATTAACAATACATCCACTAAGATTTTTAAAACCCTAAATATATAGATTAAAATTATTTCAAAGGTAACATATGTGAATTATTTTATTCAGTTTGTACAATATTAATAATGAGTTAACTAAAAACATTAAAGAAAAATGATGTTTTTGACTCAAAACTCAGAAAAGTTTTAAAAATATAGTGTTGTGTCTTCTTTATATTTATTTTACTAATGCTTATACCTAACTTCAAACTTCTTTTATAAAAAATACTTTTAGTTAAATAATTAAATGTTTTATTTACTATATAATTAATAACATCCAAAGGTGTAATTAATAGATAATTGGTGTTTATTGTAGCCATGACAGTGCTAACTTTAGGATGTTTATTCTATGATGTGAAAGAACAGAGGTCACATATTGGAGTGTTTCCAATAAAAAAGTTACAATTTTTATTTTCCCAAAGTATAAAATAAAATAAAAATATGTTCAAAATTACTTGAAAACAAATCATATTTTAATTTTAAGTTAATAAAAAGAACCTAAGTATTTAAAATATTTTGTGCCAATAAAGAGAAAGGACATTTTTAAATTATCATTTTCAAGGTTAAAATGATTAGTCTAGAACTATAAAAAATGATAAGAAATAAATTGTGTTTTCTTCATTTTTAGAAATGTATTAATTTTTTTTTTCATTAACTTGTTATAAACTTAAGTGTAAATACTAAGTGACAATTTTATGTCTTTAAAATCTTACTAACTTATTACTACTTTAATCTATACTATTTGTATAACATTACAATACTTGGATAATATGCATTTTGGAGTTCTTTTCTAAAAGTATATTTATACAACAAGATAAAATGTAAAACTAATATAAATTCTTATACATGCCATATTTGATCTAGAACTCAAAATTCATGATAATGTCCATCTGTTTTATTTTTATTGTATGATTATTATTATTTTTCATTTTTAGGGCCAGTTCTTCAGGTAGTATGAAATTTGAAGTGCTTCGACAGCCCATAGTTCGTGTTGCTGTTGAAGATAATGTTATTCGACAGCCTCGTGGCCCTGATAATACCAAAGGTTTTAATCATCGAAGCTAACCCTAACAGTTTAGAAAATTTAAATAAAATAATTTTTAAGTGCAGGATTTTCATAATAAAACAACTATAATCTGAATTGTACTTTTCTAATGTCCAGTTGTAAATATTAAGAACACGATAATGATAATACCTCTGGAATACACAATATCTGTAGCAAAAATTAAAGAAACAAAAAATATCTATATATTTCCCAGTGATTCATATTTGATAGTTAAAACACATTTAACCTATAACAAGATCTAGTCAGACAAAAATGCTTGATACATTATAATATTTTCATTAAATATTCAGTCAGAGGTATTTTTCTATGATTGTAAATTTAAATGTACATAAAAAGCTGTGTGCTCAATTGATGCACTCTATTTTGTTGATCAATTAAAATTAAGTATTTTTAAAACAAACATTCTTAACTACATAAATAAAAATTTGTTTTGTAGTTATTTCTGTATTGCCAATATTATTCAATTCAACAAACTTAAATATGTAATAACTATATTATGTTGAACTTATTCAAATTTGTTTAAATAAGGATTCACCTAAGACGATATTGACATTTTACATCTTCTAATTTCTAGTGACTGTTCTTTTTTTTTGATCATTGTTAATTTTCGTTCAAGTTTTAATAAATTCAATATTACTGTTGTAATTTATCAATTGTAAATTAGTTTTTTGTTTCTTAAGTGATGTAAATGAATATGGTGAAGGTATTAAGGTATGTATAGGACTGTAGGACTATTACCTTTACAATTTACTTATTAGTATATGTATAAATATTACATATACATATTTTTTTAAATTAATTTAAAAACGAGTGATTAACATGTATAATTTGAATACTTTATAACATGGTTAAGAGATTATATTAAACCTATAGTTATATAATTGCTGTGAACATATTTTTGTGTCTATTTTTATCATAATCCTACACAGAGTTTGACAATAAATTAGACCTGTTGAATTTACATGTATTTTGTTAAACTTAAAACTGTTATTTGTAAAAACATACACAACAATAGATAATTTATTTTACGTTCATGCTCCAAATGGATGGTAATCAATGATCCTTATGTGAATGGTTTATTTGTGTTCGAATACAGTATACCGTTTCTGGGTGGTAATGTTGTCTGAACTGGGCACCATGATCTAGCACAAAGCTGATTTGGTATTCCTTGAGAATTGCACAAGCATAAGTTGCAAAAACCCACGAACACCAGTTCTCCTGGATCGCATGGACCTATGTATATATAAAAATGTATTTAAACATTTTACAACTTTAAGTAGGTAATGATTTGAAAATTGTAGTCTAGGTATTTCAGTATTCGTCAATCTATCAAGAGAATGAAGTATTGTCTTGTTCATAAATACGAGTATTTGAATAAATATGACAGACTCAACTATGTGACAACACAAATCATATAAAACTTAAAAATGTTTAGTTTACATGGGTATTGCTTATTTTCAAAAGTATCTCTAAATGTACCAAAAATTGGTTGCTAGGACCTTTAATTTGTCTATGAAATTGGTATTACGTTGACAGTATTCTCAGTTAAACCAATGGACTCGATGTTGATGTATTAAATAATCAATAGAAAAAAAATTATTTTCAGTAGCATTACCAAATTTTCACAATAAGTACACAAGGAAGAATGTTATGTAGTAGTAGTAGTTTGTTGTCTGTAACATAAGCGTGACTCCAAATAATTGAAGTAATAATTTTTCTTTTGTCTACAGCAGATAAAGTTATCTTCAATGTACTGTGAAAATTTAGTAATCATTATACTTGTTGGTTTTTCCCACACAAGTTTTTTTTTTTGTATAAACTTGTTATTATACATTAAAAAACCGGAATAACTATTGGAATTTGATTAAGATTTACAATTTAAATTCTTTCAGTCATTTAAATTGCCTATATCTAACCCCTTAAATTGCTTGTAGTGGCGTCCTCTTAAATTGATGAAACATGAAACGAATAGGTATTTAAAATATATTTTATTTTTTTATATCGATTGTAAGCCCGGCGACTAAGACCATTAACTGTTGTAGGGGTTATGAACTGTGGTAGGGGTAAGGTTGGTACTGTAGGTTGTTTTTACGATTGTTACGGTTGTTACGGAATGTAGCAAACACGTGTATGTAAGGAAAGGTTTTTAACTACTATGAACCCGGGTGGTCACCCATCCGGGAGCTAGTAGCTGTGGCCGTTACTTACTCCCAGTCGCATTCCGCGACTGGTAACAGCCAACGCGCCACGCCAAGCCACATTAAAAATATTATAATAACGCAATGTGTATAGGTAATGAATGCAATTATAATGCCTAAACCAAATTCTTATGTTGGAGCTATTATTTATCAAGAGTGAAGAGTGCTATGACATATTGACATGTAGGTACGATATAATCGAATGTTGGCTTTTTATACACGATTCGTTTGGAGGAGGTACCTATTCTATTCTATTCTTTTCTCGGAATTTCAGCTATGTGCCACTCTTGTTATACTTGGAAAATTATTAGCAAGCTCACCTTTGTTCAACGAATTTAGAAATCTCAAAAACAATTTTATTTTTATGGGTGGGGGTAGGGCGTTCTGAATGAGCGGTCAGTAACCGTTTACTGACTAGTGACTACTAAAGGGAAGTACTAAGTATACACTATACAGTGTTATGACCAACATGTGTATCTCTGTATTATTCATTATAACTTGTAATTTTCGTCACTGATGTGGTGTAGTTGTGTAAGTATAGGAGGGTACCTAAGTACTTCATTCAGTGGCAGTTAAATATGAATCATTTGGGCATTGTCACTTATCGTCAATCAAGAGGGTTGTGCACTCCCCTTTTATTAAAGAATTAAATACTTTAATATTCTACTTTATATATATTTGTATATGTTTAGAATGAATAATACAGCTCCAAGGTTATATTGTTTAAAATATACACCATCGCTGTTGAGTTATTTACATCTTCACAGTTGAAAATAATGCAGTCATTTGAGAAGCATTAAGAATTTGACAAAGACTTACATATGCTGTATAGTATAAACAGCCGTGCGATTCAGTCAATAGAAAAGTACCTACTATGGAATGGCATTTATGGCCTTATTGGGATTAAAGCTAAAACAGTGAGAATGAATAAATTATGTTTGAAAAACGAGGAGTAAAGTTAAATTTAATCAGCATATTATGTCAGGTGAATTTGAAATATCACTATAATAGTTGGTACTGTTTAATATATAGCATTACTCATTAAAAATGGTATAATTAAGCAAAAGCAGAACATATTAGATAATGGAGGGTTAAATGTGGAACTATGGAAGATAACCGAAGACAATGTGGAATACTGGCATACGCAGACGACAGGCACGCCCGCAGAGATGTAGCTCACTATAGGTGCAAAATATTTTTAATATCAATATAAGATGTGGGGGGCTTTGCCCCCCACACCCCCTAAAACTTATTACATGACATATATTATTTATCATCAATAATGGGTATAACAAAATATATTTAAAACATAACTCATTTTATTTATTACTTCTTATAAAATATAAAAATTAGATAGAATTTTAGATGTATAACACACACATACATATATATATATAAATAATAGTGTACCACAGAATAGATGTCAGATAACGAAATTCATAATAATATTATTAATGACCAAAATAAATGTATTAATAATAGACGCGTGGTTAGATGTGGCTGTACACAGTACTAAAATGCGGCAGACGGTGGTATCTCAGAATAGTCAGATGCCTGAATAGCTAATAAGTATTTAATATTTATTATATTGGGAATAATCATGGGCATAAATTAAAAATTTACAGAGAAGGAATTTTTATATTTTATTATTTATTTGAAAAATCCAAATTATTAAAATTCTTAGGTGGTGCATTTGCACCACCTGGCCCCCCCTCCGGGCGTGCCTGGCAGACGATATTATCATTGTATAGGGTCAGATGGTCAAGAAGTAAAAACGGGCACTAAAGACTTAAATAAATAATAAAGAGTCGGACTACGAATTATGATAAATAAATTAAAGACCAAATATATGGTGATAACACAAACATATAATATATAATATATAACCCTTATACGGATATTAAACGTATAGTATACGTCAACTTTAAACTAAACCTACGTATATATTATACGTACATATTCAGTTTAAGAGACAAGAGTAGTTTAATTTTAGTTTATTTTTGAGTCAAAAAACAGATATTCCACCAATATTTTAAGTTTGTAACATTAACCTTATTTAGTTTTTACTTTTATTGGTTGTATAACCTACATGTATACGATACAAGCAAAATACCATTTATATCTTTCGTATAAAATCAGTAAACATAATACTTACTTAATATTATAAATATTTACCACGTTTAGTTTTAGTATAGAACTAGTATAGATATATTTGTTCTTATCAATCCATTTTGTTTGTATACAAATTATGCGTTATAATTTATGAATACCTATTATTATATTAACTATACTAAATCATTATCTTTGTATTTTAACAATTTCATATTAATATTCATTAGTCATATATATTGTAGGTAATAGGTATACATTATAAAGTATTAATATTATGTTTATGTATGATGAACATTACAGATATATATGCTATATGTATTAAAATTTAATGGGTATTGGAATAGTTAGAATTGAGAATCGCGAGGAACACATTGAAGTCGAGATTATAAATTTGATAGAGTACCTACAATGCCTAGGTACATAGGTATAGTAAATAGTTTTAAATACTTGGGTGTTAAGATGAATAGCAAAAATAACTGTCACGAAGAAGTTAAAATGGAAACAAAAAGTAATGAAAAAAAGTGAATAAGTGCTATAAAAAACAAGTGTCATTTAAAACGAAAACCACATTAATCTACAAGGTAGGTAATGAACCAATCACACTAGTTATTCTGTATACATGTGAAACATGACTATCCGCCAAGGAGATTAAGATAAAATAACAATTCTTGAAAGAAGAATTGGTATACTGGCAAAATAAAATAATATCACCCAACAATGTGAAGTAAGCAGTAATATAGTTTCTACTACGCCTATACAAACTACAACGAGACCGAGATAGTAGCAGTATCTGTTGCAATATAGAAGGATTGCTTGGTCACGTATGTATATCGATCAAACTCATAGTTTAATGTAATTGGGTCTAAAATGAAAGAATTATGGAAAAATATCACTAGGCAGACTAAAACAGAGTTGTATGGACAAAGTCAAAAAAAAGTTTAGAAGCGATTGTAATACGAGAACGAGAAACATTAGCACAAGATGGGAATTGATGGAAGCAGACTTGTGTTGTGATGATACGCCTCAACGGCTTTTGAAAGCCCAAGAAGAATAAAAAAGGTCGTCATTTGTACCCTTGTAGGAAGTTTTTTCTAAGGTATTATAGAGATCAAAACAATTTTTTAAAGCACATTTGTCTATTTTTTGTTAAAAATAATTTTAAGCAGTTTTTGATGGTTTTAGCCTTTTGGGGCATTTAATATGGGCCCTAGATATTACAATTTTGTCACACATTCTTTACCGATTATAACATTTAATTAACTTTAATATAAATCATATTTTGAAGAATTTGAGTGACAATCTTTGGAGCTTTGAATAATCCGATTTAATCACCAAGTTTTTATCTGCGAAATTATGAAAATAATATTTCCATGACCTTTTTATAACGTAAATAAATAAAATTAAAAGTAAAAAATAAATGTATATTTATACAATTATACACAGGTATTACATATATTTATTTATTATTTAATTGTTTATTTTATACCGGCGAACCCAATTACAATCATTATAGAGTATAGACATATGTCTAGGATTTACATAATATTTTAGAATGCCATCGCTCTAATGTACCTATTGATTTTACAGTGATGTGTTTTTTTTCTTTGTCTGTTATCATCTTTTGTGGAGGTGTACAAGCGCTTCGATTTTTTT